ACAGTGAGGGGACCTTGAAAAGAATTAAACTACCATTAAGTGGCTTTGGCCTTGAGGGGAGCACACCCTTGGCCGGTGCAGAGCGAAGCTGGCTGCCCAGGTCCATTGAAGCTGAGATGATCCTTCCTTTATGTTTGGTTTTCTCTAAATTTAGGTAAGCAGTATTAGTCAAGTCAAGGCTTTGTTTGCTTTGTTTTGCTGGTTTGTTTTTCTTATAAGGCAGGATCTCACTGTGTAGTCCTGACTGGCCTGGAACTCGATGTGTAGACCATCCTGGCTTCAAACGCACAGGGATCTATATAACTCTGCCTTCTGAATGCTGGGATTAAAGGCCCAGCATTTGTTTTTAATTTATAAACTTTTGTTATTTTAAAAAACTTACAAATAACTAAAACCATCACATTATCACTTTCTCTCTCCCCCAAAAAATCATTACTCATGTTCTTTTATGGCCTTTATTTCCTTTTAATTGTTCAAGTTCTGGCAGAGGGTCCATGGCACACTGTGGACCTTGGAGCTTAGTCTTACAAAAGTAGAGATGGGGTTGGGGAGTTGAACAGGGATGATGGGAAAAGCCAGGATCTAATGATCACGCATATCCACCGCCACAGCCACAGCAGCGTGAAGGAGCAAGTGACCAGAGGGACTACCAGAGCCTAGGAATTAGCACAACTCTAGAACCTCAGCAGAGGGGCTACCAGAACCTAGGAATAACCAGAACTCTAGAACCTCAGCTGAGAGACTACCAGAGCCTAGGAATTAGCAGAACTCTAGAACTTCAGCTGAGAGACTACCAGAACCTAGGAATAACCAGAACTCTAGAACTTCAGCTGGAGGAGTGACCACCTGGCAGAAATGGCAACTCCAGAAGAGAAATGTAACCACACACAGCTGTGGCCTGCCAAAATGAGAACCAGGGGAATCAGGATTTTCTCCTGCCTGCTGCATCCTCCTGTTACTTCCAATTGGCCACATCCAACCAGAAACCCATGGGCAGGAGCCCGTTGATTCTATGCATGGAGGCCAGCCTCCTGAGGCACTGAGCAGGGTAGAGGACAGAACAGAATGACCTGTAGGGTCAAACACGGCAGATCAGGAACTCCCTTGAGAATGGGAGCTGGTGAGATGGTTCAGTGGGTAAAGGCACTGGCTGCCAAACCCAAACACCTGCTCAGTCCCACAAAATAAATAAGACGTAATTTGAAAAAAGAACGTCCAGGGCTGGAGCGGTGACTCTGTAATTAGAGCACTCACTGTTCCTGCAGAGGAGCCCGGGGTTCCAAGCACCTGCATCAGGCAGCCCACAGCTGCTGTGCCTGCAGCTGCAGGAGATCCAGTGCATTCGTCTGGCTTCTTCAGGCACTTGCACACCCACAGTGCACACACAGGCAAGCAAGCCCATGTGCAAAAACAAAACCAAATTCTTCTCAAAAAGACATTCAGGAATGAAAAGTAAATTACAGCTTCATTTTTAGTGTACTCAGTACGCATGGGATAAGATCAGCTACTTTTCTGTTGCTGTGATAAAACCCCATGTCTAAGGCACCGGACTGAGAGCTCACATCTCGAACCACAAGCATGAAACAACACGCTTGGAATGGCACCAGACTTCCGAGACTCAGGACACTCCTCCAACCCCCCCCAACCCCTCCCCACCCCTCCCAACCCCCACCTCACCCCCACCCCCGTGATATACTTCCTCCAGCAAGGCCACACCTCCTAAACCTGTCTGACAGCTGTCAATTGGGGACCTGTACTCAAGCATCTGAGCCTGTGGGGGACGTCTTCATTCTTACCACCACAGGGATTAACCTAACTAATGCCCATCACCAATCTCAAGATTAACCTAAGGACTGGTATGCTGAATACCTTTTTGCATGTATGTTATAGTCGGAATATGAAGCCCTCTCCCCCTCTACACACACCCTTCCCCAAGAAGCTCATCTTGAAGGCTTGGTCAGTAGATCCAGTCGTTAAGAGGACTTTGTCTTTTTCCGCCTTTTTCTTCTTTTTTATGACCTGTTGAGTCTAACTAGTGCTGCCCAATTTTGCGTGGCTATGGGGCCATCCACACACTTGAACAAAACAGACTCTTTTCTCCTCCAGCAGCCATCATCTGTCAGTAGCTTCTCTGCAAGAGGTGGGGGCCCACTTGCGTTGGAGTGTTGACAGGCTCGGCTTGTACAGGTCTCACACAGCAACCACAGCCGCTGTGACCTCGTGAGTGCAGTGGGCTTGTCATGTCCAGAAGACATCGTTTCACTGTGGTGCTCCCCGTTCTCTGGCTCTTACAGTCTTCCTTTCCTGCTTAGAGATGGTTCCCGAGCCGCATTGGGAGGGGTGTGGTATAGATGCCCCACTTTGGGCTGAGCACGCCACAGATGCTTACTCTCTGTCCCTGGACCGGTTATCAGTTTCTATACTGACTGCCATCGACTACAAAAATAAACTTTTCTGATGAGGTCTGAGAGCTGCACTATTCTGTGTGTGTAGAAATATGAATTTAGAGGGCAAACATCAATTTTTAAAATCAAATGCTTTAATACAGTACAATCCAAAGATAAAGTAATTTGATACTTACATGCTGAGGGACAAGAATATGAAAATTTTGTTTTACATGATTAAACCATTTATGTTTCTATAACAGCAGAAAACTTGATGTACAGTAAACACTGCAATTCATAACGTGGTAGTCTCAAACCTGGGCTAAGATGTTCAGGTATGTTTGTTGGCAGTAGATGGAATGACAGCATTGTACAGTGAGGGTGGGTGTAGAGAACAAATCCTACCGTGAAGTTCGCTAATGCAACCATATGGGGAAGGGCTCCCAGAAACACCCCGGAATTATTATGCATTTGATATTGAATTAATTTGGGTAATTGTGTGTTCAAAAACTGTTTCCTGGGCTGAGAAGGCGGCTCAGTTGGTGAAGCGCCTGAGAGGACTTGAGCTCGAACCCCCAGATGGAACTAAAGTTATAATAGCTAGGCTCAGCGGCTCACACTTGTAACCCCAGTGCTGAGGAGGTGGATACAGGCAGCTCCTGGGGCTTGCTGGCTGGCCAACCTAGTCTGCTTGGAAAGTTCTAAGTTAATAAGAGACCTTGCATCAAAAGATGAGGTGAGTGATGCCTGAGAAGCAGCAGCCACGGTTATCTTCTGGCCTCTACACACACATGCCTCCATGTGCACATACCCGTGTCCCCACACACAATAACACATGCACAAAAAAAGAAACTGTTTGCTATTGCTAAATTATCCTCAATTGAGCTTTCCTGCATGCTGCAGCAAAGAGCTACAAATTAATCAGCATGTTTTAATTGTACTGAGACTTTCTCTCCAGGCAGTGGGCATAGCTATGCAGGGGAGGACACGTGCCCACCTGAGCCTGAGGGCCTGAGTTTGACTCCCAGGACCCACACTGTAAAAGGAGAAAACTGACTCCTGACCTCCACGTGTATAGCATGGCATAGGCACACCCTGTCTTAGTCCGAGTTCTATTGCTGTGAAGAGACACCATGGCCACGCAACTCCTATGAAAGAAGCATTTAATTGAGGCTTGCTTGTAGTTTCAGAGGTTAGTCCATTATCATCATGGCAGGAGCAAGGTGGCATGCAGGCAGACATGATATTGGTAGCTGAGAGTTTCTACATCTTGGTCCATAGGCAGAGAGAGGCAGAGAAAGACTGGATGGACCTGGTGTGTGCTTTTGAAACCTCAAATCCCATTGTCAGTGACACACTTCCTCTAACAAGGCCACACCTCCTAATCCTTCTCAAACAGTGCCACTCCCTGGTGACTAAGCATTCAAATATATGACCCTGTGGGAACCATTATCATTCAAACCACCTTACCCTCATACACATACATGCATACATATACATATACATATAAAAACTGAATAAAACTTCATTCCAGGGGAACTGGGGAATGTAGCTGTCTTAGGGTTTCTATGCTGTCAAGAGACACCATGACCACAGCAACTCTCATAAAGGAAAAGGTTTCACTGGAGTTGGCTTACAGTTCCGAGGGTTAGTCCATTATCATCGTGGTGGGAAGCACAGTGACATGCAGGAGGTTAACGGTGCTGGAAAAGGAGCTCAGAGTTCTGCAGATCAGCAAGCAGCAGGAAGAGAGACCGAGACTCTGTGCTGGCTTGAACCTCTGCAACATCAAAGCCCACCCACAGTGACACACCTCCTCCAACAAGGCCACACCTCCCAATAGTGCCAGTCCCTTTGTGCCTGTGGGGCCATTTTCATTCAGACTCCCACGGTAGTGCAGTGGTGGAGCACTAACATGTACAGGCACCTGCATCCCATCCCAAGCACTGCAAAACATTTAAGTGCATTTGAGGGCACACGATGACAATAATTCCATGATACTTACCCTGCTGTGATGAGTGATTGCCTCTGAACCAGGTCTGCTGGTTCCTGCCCCTGACGTCACTAAGGCATCACGGTCATCTGCTAGGAATTCCATTACTATTCCTATTTTGTAATGGTGGCCTCAGTCAGTGTTCTGGGAGGCTCTTGAAAATGCTAAACCCTCATTGAAGAGTGTCCTGTGATTGTGCCCTGGGGTGAAGGCTGGCTTCTGGAGCAGATTCCAGTTTTGTTCCTTGGTTCCCTGAAACCCTCTGTAACATGGAGACTACTAGCAACATCCATCTTGGGGATTAAATATGTACTTAGGGCAGCGCCTTCCCCTACTGAGCGCTTAGTTAATATTAGCCACTGCCAGGGTGACCCCAGTGGCCATGGGGACCTCTGTGAATGTGATCAAAATAAGTAGCAAAATTTGGTTCTCATGAAGAAATGGAAGGAGTCGGAGCTTGCAAAGTTCTTCTCCAGCCGGGAAGGTCCCAGAGTGGAGAATTCAGTTGTCCAGAACATGACGCGCTGTTGCGTGTCTAATGAAGGGGAAATGGGCAGGGGTGACAAGAAAGTAACTGTGGGTGGGTTTGCGTGGCTTGTGATGCTATTTCCTCTCCTATCTAGAACTCCATGAAGGTGATGTTCAAATGCCTTTGGAAAAACTGCGGCAAGGTACTGAACACGGCAGCCGGTATCCAGAAGCACATCCGGGCCATCCACCTCGGGTAAGGTAACCCACCCAGCCCCTCGGAGCTGGGGTAGCCTCCCAGCATGGCCCCAGCACCTCGGCTCTCAGATACTGCACAGCACACTGTGCCTCAGACTCTTCCCGCTCCCTGCTATGGGGGCAGACTCTGCCCATAGGCAGCCACCAAGTCACCCAGCTGCCCAGCATCCCTAAGCTACTTTCTGAGTCATACACGGTATAGACAAGTCCTCAGGCTGATCCCTAGGACCACCTGAAAATGATTAGTCAAGTATTACCTCTGAGGGTCAAAGATAAACTGTGCAAAAGACACAGAGTATAAAGCACACCACAAGGGCTCCTCCCCTGGGAATATACTTCAAGGAGTCCTTGAGCCCCTGGTGTCTGCCAAATGAACTGTGCTTTATTTTTGCAGTGGATGATGTTCATGACTTAGAACCTCAAAAGCTACTGCCACTCCAAGAGAGTCTCAGAATGAACCACCCCCCAGCCCCCCAAAAAAGACAGAAGGAAAAAAGTCACCACACCTTCAGTGATAAAGCCAGAGTTCGTGGTCGGGCTCAGTCTGTTGCTCCAGTGACCTCTGTTTTCTTCAGAGGCTGTAAGAACCTTCCTACAGACAGACACAGTTGAGGTTAGGAACATGCAGCCAGACTCCCAGCCAGGGGCAGTGGTGGGTTAACTGTCCCTGCTTTCGTCCTGAGTCTGTCTTGTCCGGGTGTCCGGGGTTTAGAAGGTATGCTGCGTAACCGTGGTCGTCACAGTGTGTACAAGGCAAGTGTCAACACCAGAGTAGGTCTGTGCGCTCAACACGGAAGGGTCCTTTTAACAAAATGAATGTGCGCTCTGTGAAAAGTGGTGTAGGGAGACAGTAACAAAGGGTTCGAAGGTGACTGCAGTCTGCCCCCCTCCCCCGCCTCGAGGTCCCCTAAGTCTTCAGGCAGGTGTTTGGGATGCACCAAAGCTTTGTAAAGCAGGTTGCCCATAAGGTCACCAAGCATCAGCGATGTGGCCGAGTGAGGCCAGGCTGTGCTACCCTGGCTGAAGGCTCTGCCTGCATCTTCAGGAAATGTCACAGTACTGTAGCGCCCCCACCCCCACCCCAGTGAGATGTTTACCCTGTCAGATCTCACGGCTTAGACTGGCATAAACAAACAGCTCAGAGCAATTTCAAGGCCTCGAAAGAACTTGTCAGCTAGCCCTGCTAAGCAGGCCTGTGTGCTCCATGGACGAGTATTTAGAGATCCAGGATGTTGCATTCACAGTGCGTGGGCAGCATTCAAGGATCAGCCACTTGTTGGCTTCCTTGGGATCACTTTTAACCAGCATGCTCTTCACCGTCGTGCTGGCCGTTGCACAGGAAAGGACTTCCTGAATGTCTACAGGACCTCCAGCAAGCCTGTGCTTTCTCAGGGCCAGGGAGGAACCTTCACTTTATTCCATGAGCCCAATCATGCCACTGTTGGATACTGGGCGAGTTAGTGAGCCGTGGCTGGGGAGGCATGTCAACCCCACCCAAAAACAACATGCCCTGTATCTGATGAAACTTCAGGCACACTATGCAGTCTTAAAAAGTACATGGTTACCTCCTCCACATCGCTCAACCTCTCCTCAGCCCCCAGTCTTCAGGGGCTGACCCTCATCCGTCCCCCTGGAGAATTCATGATTTCCCTCGGGTCTGGGTGTCTATTAGTAGCACTTGGCAACCAGCAGCAGCTCAGCCTGCCTGTGACTGGAAAGGAAGCAGGGGGGGACAGGAATAGAACAGGCACTCATTCCTTGTCCCACTCTCTGGGGTCCTCAATGGTATGCCTGTCAGAAAGCCAAGCCCCACCTGACCCGATACGTTACAGAGACACCTCCCCAGATGCCAGCTCTCTGGAGCTTAGAGGAAATGGAACGAGGCTGTGAGAAGCCACTGATCTGGCCAAGCAGAAAGTCGGGGCGAGAACACTTCATTTTAGTATATAGGAATTATTCAAGAGGAAACAAGTTTTCGGTCAGCAACCTCTGGCTGTTGCCACATGTGCCCACGAACTGAGGGATGTCCCTTGCTCTCAGCCATTCCAGGGAGTGGAACACATAGTTCTTGGGAAATTAGCAAGATGGGTAAATGTTGAGTCGTGACAGTTACTTAACTCAAAACTTTCTGTGAGAAAGCACAATTTTCTTCTACTTAAAGAAGCTTATTAAAGTCCCTGGGATAATAGTCTCCTAGTGGGAGTGGAGAAGGAGGTTTTGGAGCTTAGTTCCTGCATTTATTTACTAAATACTCAGTTGTGCTTCCTTTCCTGCGTCAGGTACATTATCAAGCTCTATACGGTTACTCCATCATAAATAAAGAAGTATTCATGCATATTTATACGCTTACTCCATCATACAATAAAGATGTATTCTTGTGATCCCATGTTATAAATAAAGACACCAAGCAAGGCCTGGGACCATGCTGGGTTGCCAGATCACACTCAAAGTGTCTATCACAATCTGAGCCTGAAAAATCCAATTCCAGAAAGTATGGTCTCAGCTCCCATTGCCTCAACAGCACCTGTATCATTCATTCATGCTGAATTTGGTAGGTGCCTCCTCAGTGCCAGATACGCTGATTACATGTGGGGTGGTACAGAGATCCACAAAAGACAGTCCTGGAGAACTGTAGTCACAGTGAGAATACAAAGAGGTTTTCAGAGCCCCCCAAAAACAGGGCTGGAGAGATGGCTCAGTGAGGAGTTTTCTGAATAAGCACTGATACCCAGGAAATCAAGGTCCCCTCTTGGACTCTTAAGTTTCACTATTAGAATAATTTAAAAACAGACTCAGCTGGAAGCTTGAGGAGAATTTCATTTGAATTTAAACCGAGCCTAGGACAGGCAAGTTGTAAATCTCAGCAGCTGCCTGGAGGAAGAGAATGGAGAAGAGGACTAAAAAACAAACAGAAACCTCCTGTATAAAAGTCATCATGGAGGACAGCCACAGGGGTGTGGGGAGCCACATAGTGAGGAAGAGTAAGGGAGGCCAGTGAACCAGGAAAGCATGCTTAGTTTCTCCTGAAAGAGACAGGAAAACTGAGGGCAAGTCAGGACTCAGGAAGGCAGGCAGACGCGGCAGACCCTCACAGTGGTTTGTAAGGACTGAGCTCATATATAGGAATTCTGGGAAGGAAAAGTATAGTATTTCATTAAAGAGCTGCGTGTGGTGGAGCAAGTTGGTAATTCCAGAACTCAGGAGGCAGAGGCAGGCGGATCTCTATGAGTTTGAGGCCAGCCTGGTCTACATAGTGAATTCTAGGACAGCTGGGGCTATATAAAGAGACCCTGTATCCAAAACAAGAAAAACAGGAAAAAAAAAAAAAAAAAACCTTCAAAGGAATAATTATTCCATTTAGCTTCTTGACATGCCTCGTGGTGAGCCTTCCTTGCTAGGAGTGACTGTACCTTCCTAGGGGGTGGTTCCTGATTGACCAGCCTAACCTTGACTAGGTTAGTTCTCCACCCAGGCTGAAGATTTCATTCTCTTGACCAGAGGAAGTACTTTTCTCTTAGTGGGCTTTTAATGCTGCTTTGTCAGTGAGGCCTGAGTTAGAATCCCAAACACACACACACACACACACACACACACACACACACACACACACACCCCAAAACTTAAAATTAAAAAAGGAAAAAAGTTACAAAAACACAGTAAGATGTTAACTCAAGGGACAACTGTACTTTGAAGGGAACATAGAAGACTACAGATGAGCCCTAACCTCCCCCCTTTAAGATGCAGCTAGACTGTGGTTTCTCATCCCCCATCCCCCACCACTACTGATGCTTTTCAGTTATTACAGATGGCAGCATCCACCTCCAAGGCCTTTTCGCCTGCACTTTGCCAACTTTCTCAACTTTCAGACAAGAACCATAGTGGTCCTTTAAAAATAATGTCCATTTCCTAAAATTCCCAGGGGCTTTTGTAACCTCCAGAGAAAATTTCCAGATCACAAAGCCATCACTGAGGCCAACGAGGGAGGCCCTATCCGGTCCTGCCTCAGCCTTCATTCCAGAGCTGCGGCCCTGCTGTATTAGTTACTTTTCTGTTACTGTGATGAGACACCGTGACCAAAGCAGTTTAGAGAAGGAAGAGGTTTCTGTGGCTTACAGTTCCAGAGGGCTGGAGTCCATTGTGGAGAGGAAGGCGTGGTAGCAGGAAGCAGAGAGAGCAAGCAGGAAGTGGGCGTGGCTGTAAACCCTCCAAGACCACTTCTAGTGATGTGCTTCCTCCACGAGGCTGGACTTCCTAAAAGTCATATAACCTCTCCAAAGAGCACCACCAACTGGGGAGCAAGTCTTTAAATCCGTGAGCTTATGGGGACGTTTCTCCGTGAAAGCACCAAACCCAGCCGCCTGTAGGCTCCGTGCCATCCTCCAAAGCCCAGCCTGCTTGCCTGTCACTTCCTCTGAGCAGCCTGTGTAAATGTAAGACCCCTCCCGACCACTGACCTCAATTAAGGACTCTCCAATTGCTTAATCTTTTTTACTGGGACTTATAAAGCCTCATATACTAAATGGCTGTGTGTTGCGGATCTCTTCTCTGCCTCTAGACTTTAAAAGTTCCATCAAGCCTGGCAGTGGTGGTGTACTTCCTTAATTGCAGCACTCACTCGGGATGCAGAGGCCCACATATCTCTGGTCTACAGAGTGAGTTCCAGGACATCCAGGGCTACACAGAGAAACTGTCTCAAAAAAACAAAACAAAAAAATCCAAAAACCGAAACAAAAATTTCCATCAAGGCAGAGTCTATGTTTTGTTCCTGTTAGGAAGTAGAATGTTTTAATGTAATATATTCTCAATAAATGATTCTCAGACTAGTAAATGGATGGGTGTGTAGGTAGGTGGATGAATGGGTGGATGGATAGATAGGTAGGTGGATAGATGGGTGGATGGATGGATAGGTAGGTGGATGGATGGGCGGGTGAATGGATAGGTAGGTAGGTGGATGGATGGGCGGGTGAATGGATAGGTAGGTGGATGGATGGGTGAATGGAAGTAGGTAGGTAGATGAATGGGTACGTGGATAGATGGATAGGTAGGTAGTTGATGGATGGATAGGTAGGTAGGTGGATGGATGGGTGGGTGGAAGTAGGTAGGTGGATGAATGGGTACGTGGATAGATGGATAGGTAGGTAGTTGATGGATGGATGGGTAGCTAGGTGAATGGATGGGTGGATGGATGGATGGATGGATGGATGGATGGATAGGTAGGTAGGTGGATGAATGGGTGGGTAGATGCATAGGTAGGTAGATGGATGGATGGGTAGTAGAAAGATTGCTCTAAGAAACCTTACTCTATTTTCTGTTGCTGTGCCATAATAGCTGATACCAAGTAAGTGAAAGAAATGGAAGTTTATTTGGCTCATGGTTCTGGATGTTGAATCTATGACCATAGTGTAGACATCTGTTCAATGTCTGGTGAGGGCTTCCTCACTGCATCTGAACCTGATATGGTGGGACAAACCAAATCTGTTAGCTTGTTTTCCTCTCTCTTTCAGAGCCACTAGTTCCATCATGCACCCACATCCTCTCAACCTCTCCCAAGACCCCCTTTCTAAATACCATTAACACAAGAGTTTGGAAATCACGTTACTAAAACAGCATTGGTAGTGGGCATGTTTAAATCATGGCAGAAGCTGATGAAGACCTCCCTCAAAGGGCGTAGCTGAGTGTTGCAGGATAAATACAATAAACATAGGCTGGCGGCCGATAGAGAGGAGCAGATTCCAGGTTGAGGGAATAGTCTGCCCAAGATGGAGGCAAAGGCCAGACCGCTGAGCTTTGCTCTCTCCTGCCCTAGGCGAGTTGGAGAATCTGACTACAGTGATGGAGAAGAGGACTTCTACTACACCGAGATCAAGCTCAACACGGACTCGGTGGCTGAGGGCCTGAGCAGCATGGCCCCAGTGTCGCCGTCACAGTCCCTGGCTTCCCCCCCTACGTTTCCTGTCCCAGACTCCAGCCGAACAGAAAGTCCTTGTGCCAAAACAGACACCAAGCTGATGACGCCGCTGAGCCGCTCAGCCCCAACCAGCCTCTACCTCGTGCACACCGACCACGCTTACCAGGTAACTCACTAGGGTCCTTGGTCAAAACCAGTAGCCCTCAGGCCTGGGACTGCAAGATAGCTCAGTGAAAAAACAGCACCACACATGGCAGCCAGTAACTCAGTTGGTTTTTCTATTTTTCCCTTTAGTCGTGATCTCAAGCCATAAGTTGTGGCTCATGCCTATAACCCCAGCACTCAAGAGGCTGAGGCAGGAGGATCATGAATTTGAGGCCATAGCTGGGCTGTAGAGTTTAAGGGGCTGGTAGCCCAGGCAACTTGGTGATATGCTACCATTAAAAAAAAAAGGCAAAGGGGTCGGGATGTAGCTCAGTGGTACAGAGTGCTTGTATCATTTGTTCAGTCTTCAGTGCTGCTGGGGGGGAAAGTCATGATCTTATTCAAATGGACCCATAGATTATTCTTAGGCTCCCCAGAGCCAGCTGAAGACCCAGTCCCTTGGAAGTTGTTCAAAGGATTAAAACAAAAAACAAAACAAAAAACAAACAAACAAAAAAAAACAAACCTTAGCAGTGTAAAGCCCTCAAGTTGATGACTGCTATAGCTTACAGGTATGTGATACGTGAAAATTAAGCCAAGAGTGGTGGCACGCATTTTCAGTCCCAGCATCTGGGAGACAGAAGAGGCAGGAGAGCTCTGTGAGTCCGATGCAGCCTGATTTACAAGAGTAAGTTCGAGGTCAGCCAGAGCTATTTAGTGACACCCTGTCTCAAAAAGGTCAAGTCAAGGGGCCATCAAGATGCCAGTGTACAAGTAAGGCTTGCCACCAAGCCTGAGGAACAGTGTTCAACCCCTATGACCTACATGGTATAAGGAGAAAAGCAGCTTCTGAAAACTGTCTTCTGGCCATCTACATAGGCACCATGCCACACATGTGTCCACACACAATACATTTATTTAAAAGTATTGTTTGTTTTTTGAGGCCGTGTCCCTCAGTATCCCTGGCTGTTCTGGAACTCACTAGACTAGGTTGGCCTCAAACTCACAGAGATCTGCCTGCCTCTGCCTCCCAAGTGCTGGAACTAAAGATGTATGCCACCATGCATAGCTAAGTTAAAATTTTTAATAAAAATTAAAATAAAATAAAAAGTTGAGCTTTGCTTGGCAAGCTTTGGAGCGATGACAGAAAGCCTGTACCATGTAGCTGGGGTTTCAGCATCCCCTGCTTCTAAGTAGGTAGCTAAGCCTCTCAGAGTACAATGTTCCCCAACTCAACAGTGTCAGCACCCCAGAAATTGTTTCAAATGGAAATTCTTGGAACACTACCCACCCAAACCTCCTGGGCCATAGCTGGAAGCGGACCAGAAGCCTAAGGCCTTAGAAATAAATCCTCCAAGCGCAGGCCATGGCTAGCCCAACAATTGCAGCTAACTCATGCAACTTCATGAAAACCTTCCTTGCATTTTTGAAATTACATTTCCTTACCTATTTGTAAAAAAAAAAATCCAAATAACTGTATAATGTCTCATTAAATTAAATTGAAGTAATGATTTTAATCATTCTGATAGTTTATATGACTATCTACTGTGGCTTTCCACTGTCATAATCACATGGAGCTGGGCATGATGTTGCGCCCTTAATCCCAACACGTGGGAAGTGAAGACAGCCTCAGCAATGTAACAAGTTCGAGGCTAGTGTAGGTCACGTAAGACCCATCTTTAAAAATAAATTAAAAACAAGAAAGGTGGGGGGGGGGGTGAACATTCTCTGTCTGTAGACTTCTTTAACTTTCATTTTAATTCTCAAGAGTGTCCTTATTGAGTCATCTGGAGCATGAATGAAGAGTTTATGGATAAACTCTGTGAATCGCCAAAGTATTTCCCAATGGTGTCAGATACAGAACCACTGTAACTAGCTGAAATATTTGTAATTCACAAACAAAACACAAGTAAGCCTGAAGAAGAGAAATGCAGTCACTTAGCATATAGGCTTGACTCTTGTTATCTCAGTTATATCTATTTGTTCAATTTTAAGGCTTTTAAATTTTTATTAATTTTGTGTTTATTTTGTGTGTATGTACATGTGGATGCACACATTTGACACATTGCATGTGTAGAGGTCAGAGGACCTTCCACTCTGTGGTCCTAAGGATTGAACTCAGGTCTTCGGGCTTGTCAGTAGGTACCTTTATCTGCTAAACCATCTCACTGGCCCCGTCTCTTAGCATGTTCATGATACACAGTTGTGCAGTGAATGTCATTGTATCCGTTTTCTTAGAATCATCCCTGAGATGTGAGATGTCTAAAACAATGAGAATTTTAGGGCATATCACTGAAGTACACTCCTAAAATATTTATAGCTTACGTGTACCCGTTTCCAAATTTATTGTTCAGGTATTTATTTCCTAATTTGATTTTCAAGAATTACTTGCATATGTCCAAAAATAGAGATATGTGATTAAATTTCAGAAACTGACAGCCAAAAGCCGTTCCCTATACCTCAAGTGGATTGCTCAGACGTGTAGGGAAGGCTTATTTCTGGTTGCTCTCTCGGACCCTGTTGAGCCGGCCTGCTAGCGTACATTACCAGGGCCGCCCTGTGTGTCCCTGCAGCCCAGCTTTGGTAAGGAGAGCTGAGACACCGTGGACAATCACTTTCATGCAGTTTTCTCTACCTCCTGTGTCCTAGGCCACACCCCCGGTGACCATTCCGGGATCCGCTAAGTTCACCCCCAACGGCAGCAGTTTCAGCATCTCCTGGCAGTCCCCTCCCGTCACATTCACCGGTATTCCCGTAAGTACCAAAGCGCGCAAGGTGGGCCAAGCCAAAGGTCCGTTCAGAGAAACAGACACGGGAAAGATGGAGTCGGTGCCCAGAGGCGCCACCACGGTTCGTTTCTTCTCTTTTCTTTTTTGAGGTAGTGTGTCTCGAGTAGCCCAGGTTAGCCTTGAACTCTAGATAGTCAAGGATGGCCTTTGAACCCTCACCTCCCAAATGCTGTACTATAGGTGTACACCATCATGCCTAGTTTCCAAAGACATATGCTTCTTTCTTTCTTTCTTTCTTTCTTTCTTTCTTTCTTTCTTTCTTTCTTTCTTTCTTTCTTTCTTTCTTTCTTTCTTTCTTTCT